CGTCAACAGATTGCACGTGTTACAATCAAACCAAAGAACTATCAACTCTACTCTTCGAAGATAGAGTTTACATTTCAATGTATAGAAGTTAGTTTTTTATCGTTTTAGTATTGTTAGTCCTTTGTATTTGAATCGATCAATGAATGAAAGAGATCGATGGTTGGAATTCGTCACACGGATTAGGCTTTTGTTCGTGTTTAGCAGGTGATGTCAAGGTCTTAGTAATGACTTAATCTTATTTACTTGAAGCTTTGTGAAGTGGAGTAGTTGTTGAGTTTGTCTGGCGTTTGGTTCTTGCAATCGTGGCTACTTGGTGTGTTATGACGCCCTGGTAGATTTTTCGCTAGTTGCGCAAAGAATGCGTAGCGTGCTTTCGTGCTGTGTTAGAGCTTCTATTCTTATTTCTTGTTCATCTTCGTGTTATTGACTGACTTTGGTCATATCAATTTCATTGAGGTCAGGTTTAGTAGAACATTTTCCCCAAAAATGAAATATAAAATTCATAACTTTCCTAACAATCAATGGGTTGTTTTGTCACTCATTAAACATTAAACTATTCGATAGCAAATAAACCAATAGGCGTGTTTGTTGAAGTAACCGACAGTTTACTTTGAACTCGGAACTATTGACCCTAATTAAGGCGATGGCCCGTGACAGGATACAATGGTAATCCGGGATTATCCCAATAAAACACCTCTTGACCAAGTCCACTAACATCTTTGGTCAGAACCAACTTAAGTTGAGCCCTGTCAAATTTTGCTAACCCTCCTAAAAAGGCTGTAAGTTAACAAAACATTATATACAAAAAATTACATCAGAATACAACCATATATAACTTTAAACCTACAGTAATAAAAATCTAAAAAATCCCAATAACTTTTCAAAGAAAAATCATAGAGTATAACTAGTAGAGTTCAAGTTATTCTGGTGGCAACTGGTTCAAACTGCTTCGCGTTGGATCGGACCGGACTTTTCTCGCCGACGGAACCCCTTCTCTTCTATTATTTAAAGGGACCTTTGCCCTCTAGTCCTGAATTATGTGATGTTACATGGTGATATTTTCAATTCGGATTTCGTAAGTTAATTTAAATTAATTTTCTAATAATTTCGTTTAACAAGAGGATTTTGTTTGGATGAGGTATAAGAATTTTATTTCTGGAAAGATTTTCTCAATTAAATTAATTACCAAGTTAATATGTGTAAAATCCTCATAAAAAATCTTCATTTTCTGTCCCGAATCTAGCAAACCTTACCTAGATAGGTGTTTCTCAGTCCATTCTGTCCAAACCATACTGTGACGGTTCGCATGTAGGTTGGACAGATCCGACATTTCTCGATACTTCAATGATTCTAACGGTCATGATGAGTCTGGCATAATCCCTTAGATTTAAAGACTCTTGTTATATTTTAATAAAGAGAAAAAAAAAACATAGTAAACTAAACAACAAATAAATTCCAATTCGCCCAAAACACCCAAATTAACTAACATTTATAAATAAACCAAAACCCGCATTAAATGCCTCTCCTATAAAATTTCCCACTACAAATAACTAAAATACATTCAAAGCATGTAAACCCTTACCCTCTTGCCCTCCCGGAGGGCAGGAGATCGAAGGCCGGACATCCGGTCAAGTCGCCCTCAAACCGATACTATGAAGTATTTATTGAGTTGCGGCTCACCAAAAGTATTTTATTGTTGAGATATACCCTTTTGCCCAGCACCCTTTGTGTCTTGCCTTTGCCCCACATGCGATTTTCAACTCTATTTTTGTCATGATATAGTGGATTGTTTCTTGTCTTCTTCAAGGGTCGTAGCGACAGTTGCAAGGTGTTATATTTGTATTAATTGGACTTTGAAATGTTTTCGTTTGTTAGTTTGTGTTAATTCCTCGTATTGTTGTTGTAGCTTTTTTGTTTATAGTTATATCCTTATGGTGATTAGATTAGCCCCCCTCGTGTGGGTGCCACTCACCTGCTCAGACTTTAGCGGTGGCCAATGGTCATACCCAATTTATGACTGTATTAAACGAAGTATTTTGGAAATTTTAAATACTTCCACATGACGTAGTAACATGGATATTCAGCATAATAAAATATCATTTATATTATTTATAAAACCTCGTGTCCATTTATTTTTTTCTGTCACAGAAATAGGTCGTCATCTAAGTGAGATATACGATCAGTAAATAAAACAAATGTAAAACATTTTTCCCCGAAGTATATTAAAAAAGAAATTAGTAAATTATATTTAGCCAAATCCCGCTGGAGTTATCCCGATAGTTGAGCAGATGCTTGTCGTAACTGTCAGTCGGTTTGATTCCCGGCACCTGTTGTTTTCAAACTCTTCGATTACGAGCCATTAGCGCGACTGGCTCGATATTTAATACTATTGGGTTTTATGTTCTGTACTCTGAATAGTTGGGTAAGGTCATTGACTTGCTATAAGTGGCCGAGACAGTACTAACTCAAATTCGACGCGAATGTCTACATCGGAAAAACTGAAAAGCAATAATGAATTATAAACATAACGATATAGGGTCCTTAATTAAAATAGACTACAATTTAAATGAATGTATTAACAGTGTAGATTATAAAGCTAGCTCAAGGTCTTCAATGAGGTCCAAAATGAAAATAAACGGATTCCAGACAGGATCGAACAGTCGACTTATCGAAGACAAGCCCAAATTGTAACACAAACACACCAGTTACATTATCAATTACCATTTTTTCCTGAAAAACAATCCTATCAATATTCCATAAATATGACAGCTCACGTCATTGGTATAATTCAAACCGTGTCAACAGATATTTGCCAAAGTATTAGTTATTTGTTCAAAACCTTATCTGGTTTATGACAGTGTGCGGCGTATTTTTTCCTTTTAATACTACCTATTGAGTTAAATCATACTGCAGTATTTTAATGATTTGATATGGTATCTATGTCAGTGCAAACATGCTTGGAGGTTCGTTATTGATATGGCATATCTACCTATTCTTTACTTTTGTAAATAGCTCGATTTCTTTTCTCCATGTTTGCCTTGGCTTATATTATCATGTCTGTATTTCGATTTTACTCTTAACCTCACAGTTACTTTTAATTTACCTATAATTCATCATCATCATCAACATTTAACTGCCCACTGCTGAGCAAAGCCTCTTCTCACACGGAGAAGGTTAGAGCATTAATCACCACGCTTGCTCAATGCGGGTTGGCGATTACAAACTTATAATTAGAAATTATAAGCCCAGGTTTCTTCGCGATCTTTCCTTCGCCGTTTGTCAGTGTCTCATGCATGGGAAGATGACCTATTAAACCTCCGGGCCACCACGACACATTTTAGCTATAGTTAATTTACTTTAAATCTACTGAACCTGAATCAGACCTCTTTGATATCACTGTTTTCATTACAATTACAACCAATAAAGTTTCTAATACAATAATAGTATCCCATTCCCCAGACACAAATAGATTTATTGTCATAAATACTACCTTCATTACGAACGATAGGTGTCCCATTAAACTCTATAACTATAATAAGTCGGTTCCCTGCCATCGATGGCGGTTGACAATCGGCCGCCGATTTGCGGTTACCGATATCCGACCCCAGGAGATAAGGATCACCAGTTATGTGGCCAGGCTACCATCGGCCGTTTCACTTTATAGCCGATAGGAAGCCAATTGCCGGCGAGTGTTAAACTTAATTGAGGGTTTTAACTAATGAATATAGTTCACTTGCTTTCCTAAACTAACAAAACGTTTACGTTTTGTGTTGTTGAAAATGACAATTGAATATTGTGAGGGAAGTCACAACACAATCATTGAAAGTCAATAAAATATGAAATAGAAAATATGACCACTTTACACAGAACCAATGGGGCGAGGGTTGAGAATAGACGTATCTTTGTCGGTGAAACTCATCCGATTTCCGAACGAGCACCGATAGCGGAAGCGGCGCCCCCGCCGGATGTGCGTTGAGCGGGAAAATAGGCGGAAGTTTCGCGCCGGGGAGAAAAAATTCGGAAAAGAATCCCTCTGACAAATTTGCATACGAAAAGGGCACTTTTGTGTGTTTTGCTCAGCGATCGGTTGTAAATTTGTCAGATTGTCAATTCACAACAAACGCTCCTCTTCGTCACTTTTGTTATGTTAATCATTGTTTTCTTACACCGTTCTTATTTTTTCGCGGTTGTGCCACTTTCGTTATCGGATTGTAAATTCAAATTTCGAACGGTGGTCGTTGAGAGGAAAGAATTCGGGATTCGAAATTCAAAGTTGGATTTGCGCGTAATTAGACAGGTGATTCGCTAATTCGTAAAAAGAATTCGTCTTAATTCCACCGCGGGACCTATTCCGGCGATCGCTCGGGAGCGCTGTGGGAACGTCACGTCGAATAATCGGTATCCGCGCAAAAAGTGGCCCGTGGATGTTTTGAGATCAACCTTTTTATAATTGCGGACGTCTAAATTGATTGACAGTTAATTTTGAGATTTCTTCCTTTGGAAGAAGCATCACATTTAATTCTTTTTGGTAATAATCAAGATTATGTAAGCTTACAACACATTAGGAGAGTGGCTTTCGTGTGGTTGAACTTAGTGAGCGTTTAACAACTTATTATAAAAACAACTACCTATGCAAAACAGAAATTGGCGTAACAAGTCAATATATTCAAATAACAATTATCTTTATTCCAGTAGGTAGGGTGTAGGTACAAGCAGTTCCTCCGATATAAATCAACATTAGCACAGTTTTCGCTGCACAAGTGCGCCGGCGCATCGTATCCCCTCTGACGTGTTCCCGTCGGCGATGCGCTGAGGTCAGGGCCGAGCGCCGCATGCGCATGCGCACACTCGATCATGTGAGGACTTGCGTGAACATTTCAATATTCCGTTGCGAAGATTCGAGGCAAGGATATGACTTGAAAAGGTATTAATTTGGCATTCTACGCCATAGCTACGGAATTTGGAATGTTCAAATGAAGATTCTGTGTCTCAAAGATACATCATAAATCATTCGTTTGCGAATAAGTCAAAAAGTCGAAATAAGATAATGCACTCTTTCTTTTATCGCTCCCAATATTAATAACAAAGCAGTACAGACTCACAGAGGCACATCTGCACTTCATTAGCAAATATGAGTGTTCAATAATTGCTCGTGTGTTTTGGAATCCACAAGTCTCACAGCGGGGACTTGTCGGCGACATCAAAAGCGGTGCGGGCGCAATTTTGACAATTAAAGCGCTGAGCATCGCGCGCATCGTCCGCTCACCAGTCGCGTGTCCTTGCCAAGAATCCACGACGCAAAGCCTACTTTTTACAGAATAAGGAACCGGTCTCATTTGTACGCACTTACAACGTTTTATTCTCGTTAATTTCCACACAAATGTGATGTGTAACACTGGGACCCGTGCCTCGGACTCTCGGTCGGCTCCACTCACTATTTCACGGACAAAATGTCATTTTACGATCATCTGATTCTGAATTACGTGCCGCAATCAACGTCCCATAAAGACACTGTAAAATTTAACGACTGTGTTTTCATCAAATCGTATATACGTAATAAAAATCATCAATTTGTTGTGTATCTATATATTAGTTAGAAAAGGCCCTATCGTTTAGTTTTAAACCATCGTAAATTAGAACTTTCGGTCGTAATATCGAATTTTTAATGTGTAGAATTTTTAGTGGAGGTACGTGCCGAGTGCGGTCCCGAATAAGTCAAGTTTTTATTGGTCGTAAAAATTTAGGACCTCTGGTAGGTGACTCTATTCTTAAAATCGATTTTACGAATCGAATATTGGACGATAATGTCCCAAAAAAATGTTTTTAATTAAAAGATTATAATCTTCTTAAATCGTAAATTGAGTGAGCGAGACACTATAAATATTTGTCAAAAAACTCATTTCGGCTTTAGAATATGGGGTTATGGTGATTTGTGATTTCATCGAACTTATGAGGGCTAATGATAAACATAAATATTAGTAATCTCCTCATAACATAACACGATGAAAACTGTATTAAGTAACAAGTCTTAAGTAAGTACCAAAGCAAAGAATAGTGACAAATTCTTCGAATATTTTTCCCATCCTGAGAGCACAATAAGACATCTCAATCGTCAAAGCGAATCTATGCCACGCTCACAACAACATCGTCCGAACTAAATCGAGTTCAATTGACTAACGATTGATTATTCAATCAAAACAGATTGATCGGCATTATCGGATAATAGGCGGACAATTGCGGACCAGTGCAGCGGTCGTACCGGTCACGACAGTCCAACGTGCGCAGAAACTAAACGCGGATATCTTAACTTTATTTTTTTGGATGATCATTTAAGTACAAGATTTATCTTGTAAATTATTTTTGTCTTTGACACTATTGCTATTGTTTATAAACGGCATAGACTAGTAGAATAGAGTACAGACTATTTATTGTTTTAAAAAGTTACAAACTGACAAAAAGAACCGATTTCTAAATTCAAAACACAGATTGAAAAAACAAAAGTAAGTTTTAAACTTGGAACTGTGGGCGCGGGAATCAATAAAGCGCGTTCGATTTAGCTGCACGTTCAAATTGCTCGAGAGGGGAAACAAAGATGTCTCACTTAAGGACATCGAACGTGATCTGTTTGCAAAAAATACCTTTAAGCACCTCTTTACCTGTGTCCCGGACCCTTCGAGGGGAACGCCGGGAGTTTTCTTTTGAACTTGTAAACATCGGCTGAAAGATGTCGGGAAATCTTTGCGGTTAAACTTCGATTGCCTTTATTTGTTTCACTTTGTTACTTTTGCTGTTTGCAAGAAATCGAACGCGCTTTGTTTATTTTTTAATGTTGAATTTTCGAATTTGGGGCTGCGGTTTTGGCTGACGCGTACAGATAATTGTGTATTGGTTTTAACTTGATTGGAATGGCAGACAATCTTAATTAAAAGGTCTTTTAAGACTTTTCATAGGTGGGCACTCGATAGAGTTCGTCAAAAGTTATGGTTGATGCGTCAAAATATATTCAGAAAATAAAGTCTCATCCCAAAAACCAAACCAAACCAAACAAGTTTGAATTCATGTAAAAGTTCCAGACTTGTGGTCGTCGAGTGACCAAAAACATTAATTCGCGAAAGCATAGCATCGTTTATTTCATAATACGCAGACGCATAGCAAGATCATTGTCTTTAACTTTTTGCGGATCATTTTCAAAACTACCTTCCCTTACATTTACACGCAACGGCAAAATTACGGCTTTTTAGCTCTTATTTTAAACAATACATGGTTGAAATTATCATAAATGTTTAATGCATTTACTGAATTTTGTCACGGACAAAGAAAAGTCGCGTTATGTGCAGAATTTTATCCGCCATTTTGAATTACAATTCGCTTCGGCCCACGCGCAAATGTTAAAAATTTCTCCGCGAAAGGGATGTACTTTGTGAAAAACCATGTTATAATTTACGGCGTGCGTAGTAAATATATTGTAGTTAGTGTAAATTTAATGAGAGATTAACATTTTCTATGAAGTTTTATACTTTTACTTTTATTGTAGAAAGCTAATTAATTAGTGGCGCTGTTCTAATAATGTATTTTATGAGGTTTCTTTCAGTGGCTTTGATAACATCAGGGTTACGGAACCTAAAATTTACGTTGAAAGCTTACAAATCAGCCTAGACATTGAGACACAAAAACTTGATATGAGAAGTATTGCGTAAAGAATAAATCCACCTGTATTATAAGTCAATTTTCACTTGTAATATATTTTTTGTTTGCCCCCAAAGTAGTTGTAAAGTGTGGTTGTATGGTTTACGATGTGAGGGTGCGATGTCTACGTGTTTCCGATGTCGATGCTAATCAATTTTATAACTTCACCCACCCCTGTAGATCGGTGCCTGATGCCATTGATACAGAATTGATTTTCAAAATATTTGTTTAGACATATTGAAGTGTTTTTGTTGTATTCGATTTGGGATATTGTCTTTTTATTGTGCTTTTAGAATGCTTTAAAATAGTTTAAAAATGTTTGTGTTACTTCGTACGCTAAATGCTTCATTCTTTTGTTTACAACCAGTCTTAGGTTTTATTTTAGTTTAGAAAATATCTACAAAAATGTTGATAAGGAGAGCTATAGACAATAATAATGACAATTTGACATCTCATCAAAATTTCATATTTCGAACAATCGCAACGTACAGGCGGCCATGTTTTAATATCTGTCACTTTGACATTCACCCTTTTATTGGCGTGTTGTCAAATGTGATGTTTCTTTTATGGCGTAGATATTTTTCTTTTCTATTGATTGTATTGTAGATATATGCACACTGTTTCTTTGTCTTGTCCCTTCACAAACTTGGCTGCGTTTCAAACGCGTATTGATGCAAATATATTTGCAATATTTTTAGCTTTATACTTTTTCTATTGACAGTTGTCTTGTCTATTGACGCTTATTTATAAATGTATTCTGTTAGTAGTCTAGTGAGAAATACACGATTATCACGAAAATGTGAAACATAAATGTATCTTGCTTCATAATTATACATTTTTAAGATGTTCATTGAAGCGTTAAGCATGCTATTGAGAAGTGGCAGTACTATAAAACAGAACACGACAAGAGATTGGGTTCTGACTGTAAATATCATAGCTATGGCATAGGAAATCAGATTACATTAATGGTAACTACACCAATTTATAATTAGTATTCCGTGTTGTAAATCACGGCACGTTCAGACATAGATCTCTAGCTAATCACAACTGTGTACAAACACAGCTTTAACACCAGACACACATAATACCTATTAAGGCTCTTGTTCACAATGACACATGTTATCCACACATCACTGTCCATTGCCGCATTTGTACGCGCAATGTTCGTCAAAGTAGTTAGTAATCTATCAGTGTACGTCAAAATCGTGGACGCACAGACAAGAGGACTATAAAATAATTTACGGTACCCTAAAATGCGCACATCTAGCGCACTGGCCAATGGAAACAAATTAATTATTAATTTCCAGCAGGGGGCGCTCGTTTTGTTCCAAATACAAAATTTATTGGCGTGCTAAATATAGGAAACATGTTCCTTTTTTAAAATTGGAATGTGTATACATAGAAGCAGGTTCTTTTTTATCGTGGAATGAAAAAAGAGGATTAAAAAAAACAAACAAAAAACAAAATAAAGACTGGAAATCATAAAATAATATTTGGGGGTACTCACTGTAGGTTCAGAAACGGGAACTTAATTTACCTGGAAAGAATAAAATAACTTATGAGAATGTGCCAAAAGACAAGCTAGTAAAAGGGCGTAAGTCAAGAAACAGATATTTTATCTGTGGTCAAAACTGTCATGGCCGTAAACCTATCATAAAGTTTTCTCTATGTTACTCGTATTGAGACTAAAGTTCATCAAAGGGTGAGGTTAATGTATTATTTTAAATAAAGGATTATTAGCATCAACAAGATGATGCGGGCGTCATCGTAAAATTACAGACAAACACATTACACTGCATATATCTCTTTACGATCCTACAATTATTTTATAACCAACATTAAACTTCAATTGAATTATAATAATGGGACCATTAAATTGGATTCTTCGATTTTTTTTTATAATTATAATTTGTACCTTGTCATAAGTATATACTGATATGAAATATAATAAAATGTATTTATTTGTTTTTAAAATTAAAACTTTCGTGAAACATACTAATCAATTATTGTTTTTCAGCTTACTCATGTAAGTGTTTGACGAGAGACTCGACTAGTTTCAAGCCATGCTAGATGCCAATGCCAGTAGCAGCGCAATAGTCGCCGCGTTGCGGGTCGCTGAATGCTGCTCATGAATATGAGCCTCTAGCATAGCTTGAAACTAGTCGAGTTTCTCGTCAAACAGTTACGTGATTAAGCCGGAAACATAATAATTAATATCTATTTTTTATTTACAACGTGTTCGATGTCTCTTTATTGAGTGTATTACAGATCTGTATTATGTATTTCAATTATAAATTGTTATGGGGTTTTACCATTTAGGTTCATAAAAATATCTAAATTCCTCACTACTTCTGTTTCAGTCGATGTCTGTAAGCAAACAGTCAGCAAACCAAATAAAAATAGTCATGAATAAACATCAAATACTTTTTTCCCGACTAACTTTTTACGTCTTTGCCTTGAAAGTCCTTCAGTCCGGCTCTGGTCAGGACCTACCTGGTCGTAACCAAAGAAACCTTTAATTATCGATACATTAATAGTTCCACCGCCCTCGGAAACCGATGACATTCATAAAACGATTTTATACCACTATAAATAACAATAAAAACTACATAAAATAGTTTACTCGGTCGCGATCAATACCAACAATTTT